GATTCCCTCAGAGGTTGCTAGGGGTTCCTTAAGCAGTGGCTGACTGACCTCATATGTATTGGTGCCTGCAAAGTTCTAGGACCACTTGGAAGAGCCAGCAGCATGACGCTAATCAACTTTTTAGCTATCTGTAAGGGGGGCATTCTTCCCACTGATCCCCAATGAATACATTTTAGAAGGCGGTTCCCTGAAACCTGGACATTACTTCAGGGGTTCCTCTGGGGTTAAGAAGTTGAGAAAATATTCTCTAAACTGTTATTGGTAATCTTCAAGAACAAGCAAAAGTGTACTTGAACCTGCAGAAATACCTCCAAGAACAGGATTTTTCAACCTTTTAAAGTCACAGCACCCTTTAAAAGTATGTGAAATCTTGGGCACCCGGTCTAAAATGTGAAAATGTTAATGTAAAAAATGACATGTGGTTCCTCAAATCCATATCAGACCTATCTGAGATTACATCAGAACCCCCCACCCCCTTTCACATCAGAGTCCCCTTTTACATCAGGTGCCCCCATCACATTAGGAGCCCCTTCACATCAAAGTCACCCCCTCTCACACTAGGAGCCCCCTTTTCACCATGGCCAACCTACACCATTGAAAGTCATAATACTGTTTGAAAATTTCGAGGCACCCCTGAGGAGGTCATAAGGCACGCCAGGGTGCCGCAGCACCATGGCGTGTGAAAGGCTGTCCTAGAATCTACTGGATGATAAATATATATCACCCATCATCAGAAAACAGGGTATACTGTTTTATACTTAATTTTAAAGTGTATCTCCACTTTTGCAGCCAAATTGGTATAACACATTTTTTTTATATTTGTCACATGTTCCATTCACATAGCATAAGAAAAACAAAAAACATAAATAAAAACTATTGCTTACATTTTTCTTGCCCCATTCTGAAAGAAAGGAAGTGGAAATTTCCTCTGGAATGCAAGGCAGGGGTGGAGGGGGCTGGAGAGGTTAATAAATAACCCTGTCTGTACTGTGCTGGCAGATCTCATTATCAGTTGTGAACTAGATTTGAACACTGTTTGTCCTAACAAAAAAAAGTTAAACATCAAGAAGCATCATGTGTCAATAAGAGGAAGCTCGGTCTGTCCCTAGCCTTTTCCTGTCAATTTGAAACTGTACAGAGAAGCTCCAAAGGCCTGCTAAATGCATGCGTCTGAAAGGTAAGGAATATTAGACATGTGCACCAGCAAAAAATTCGTTTAGTTTAGTTTCGTTTTGAAAAAAAAAAAAAAGGAATATGTTTAGAGAATTTTTTGTCAGTATGCTGAATAGAAACATATAACGTATAGTTGGGTTTTCTCAAATTTGAAGTGGAAATACACTTAAATAAACACTTAGAGTGACATTAAAGCCTAATTCCACCCCCCCCAGTGTCTCTCCTCGACTCCTGGCCAAACATCTGAAGTGTGCATGCGCCCGCCCGAGATCCTTTGCGGCCGCCCGAGACTCTTCAGATGTTCGGACGGGAGCGTGCAGCGAAGACACAGGTAAGTTTAAACCTGTTTCAAAAGGGTTTTTTTTGTTTTTTATACGTTTTTGCATATATCTACTGCTCGCTAGCAGTAGATATATGCAAAAAGAGTGAGGGTTTAATAACCCTTTACAGGGTAACTGTGGTCAAAAACGAAAAATAAATCTGCATTTCTATATTGAATTTCCATAAATTCTATTCCACTCCTATTAACTATATCAACCTAGAAGTTTGTAAACTTACTTATTGTAGATGTCCATAGGATGTACTTCCTCCATGCACTGACACAATTTCACTCAGCTCTGGGAATATGCACTTCCTTGTATCCTCACTCTAACTTAGCCTGCAGTCTGAACTACAACTCAATGTCTGAACAATGTAACATTATCATTGCTTGCTGGAAGCAATGCATGATGGAATATTTAGTCTTGAGAAATTGAGATTGCATCTCATCAAGCAGCAGTGAAAGAGATGCAAAGCACACTGGGAATCCGGGAAGCTGTTAAAAGTGATGGGCAGACAGAAGGCAGCACTCACTACATAAAAGGGATTTTTCATGTAAGCTTTGATTGCAATATCAAAAATAACTCTAGTATGCATTCTTATCACAACACTGATGTTATAACAGAAATAGTGTATGCTGGGACTTTACACTTTTTTAACCAGAGGAAGACAAATCCGAAGAAGTGTTACCTTAGAAACACTGAAGCTCCTAACAATCTACTATGATAAAATGATGTTTTTCCATTCTGTCTGAAATGTACATGAAATCTTAAGCTTGTGCCTTGCCCATGCAGGGTAAAGCAACAGGCTTCACTTAATTGCTACGCTCCCCCAGGTGCCACCACAGAGCGAAGACACAGGTACATCCAGACGTTTTGAATGATAAAGATTCCAGAGGTGCGCCTGGCTCTGCAAGAGAGGGAAGATTCGATTAGTTGGTACTGATAAGTATCATTAATGTACTTCTACTGGCTACCTTTTTTTATTTTATGTTATCATTTTATTTTTTTTTAATAGTTTTGTTTTAACTCATTAACCATGAAGATTTCAATGTAAGTAAACAGACCAATGAAAGGTGCATCTTGATTGGTAGCTGCAGGGTACTGCATGTTACTTATTGGGTTTTGCTTTACAGAACAAGCCTGATGGCCCAATTTTCAGCCCATGATACATTTTTACATGAAATTGCTAAAGCACACACATGGATTTGATGACACCAAAATATTGTTTAGCACATATCTGTTATATATCTCTGCAATTAAAGTACTATTAAACGCTAAATAATGACTCCAGATCAAACAAATATATTACAATGTAATATAATACATTGTCAAGCAAAGTATTTCTTGTATGTTTTGCCCAAGCACTTACAGTCATTAATTTTCCAGACAGCTACAACTCTCTCAGCTCTGCTTCCCTGAACTTCATGTCCAGTACAAGATCACAAGGGAGAGCACTGTCTACAGCACCTGTCTATCTACTAGCATGGTGCAGGGAGGATTGGGGAGTGATTTGCAGCGCTGTGTTTGTGTTTTAGGACACACACACAGGTTACTAACACACACAAGGGTGGCTCCATATGACCCTGCAAGGTAAAGGAGTCACCCTAAAATAGGATATCAGGGCCAGTGCTTAGGGGACCAGCTAGTTCTGCAGGAAAATTAATTTTTTAAACATCAAGAAGCAGCATTTCATCAGCATTTGAAGTAACTTAAAAACATTTTGGCCTGAACATCACTTTAAAGTAGTACTAAAGGCTATTTGTTTTCTACCTTAATGCATGCAGAGAATGCATTAAGGTAACAAACGCCCCGCTACCTTTGCATGCCCTCCACCCCCAAACACTTATTTATACACCGCGTTAACCACCGATGGCTCCCAGACAATCTGCAATGTTTCCCCGAAGTTCTAGGTTGAGAGGAGGAATCCAGAGGCCACTGAGGGCAGCGATAAGCTGTTGCACCTTAAAACAGTAGAAAGGCATCATGGCACACTCACAAACCAGCATGTAAAACAACTTGTCTCACCACTAAGGAGAGACAAGTTGAAGATTTCAAATTGGGTGCAGGTTTGTCAGGAGGAAGCCCAACCTCCTTAAAAGCACAGAAACACACAAGGGATCCCGCACATCCCAATGGCAGCTGAGAAACCCCATGGGTCGCTGCACTAAATCGGTCAAGCAAAACAAACGACAAACGCACTCAACAATTTGTCACCAGTTATACAGTAAGGTGCCCCCATTCTGCCCCCATGTGCTCCAAGATGGAGACTCTCATAGTTTAGAGTTAGGACCGCACTATAAGAGGTGCCTTGGCGCGGCAGTGCGGCTTTCACATCCTCTGCAGAAGACGTGTATCCAAACCTCTGTTATTATCCTTATTGGTGAGACAAGTTGTTTTACATGCTGGTTTGTGAGTGTGCCATGATGCCTTTCTACTGTTTTACTGTTCAAAGCCCATTTCGTGTGCACCTTACTGTATAACTGGTGACAAATTGTTGAGTGCGTTTGTCGTTTGTTTTGCTAGGCTGTTGCACCTGCCTGTCAAGATACTGTGAGGAGGCAGGGACAGGGGTGTGGCATGTCGAGTGCTGCACAAGTACAAGTGGATCTCCTCCGGAGAATTTAAAAGAAAAAAACAAACACGAGGGTTTAATATCACTTTAATCTCACTCAATCTGCCACTGTATAGAATGTTCATTTTAGAGTACTTTGTTATTTTTTCGCTTATTATTTCCAGATAATAATACACTTTAACTTCCAGTGTGTTTTTCACATCCTTTATCCCGCAAGAAAAATCACCAGGCTCCCTCCGCCAAGACACAAATAGAAATCTTGGTGCCGATAGCCGCTGTGCAGCGATTAGCTCGTCCAGGGGAGCTGTTTCTTGTGCTAGCTGCTACCTCATCAAGCTATGAGTCACCAATTCCTTGCAAGAATGCTTTCCTAATGTAATTTGGATTCTTTCTCCAAAACAAATAACATGGGATTTTTATAAATACCTTATTTGATTGTGTTGACATCTGTTAATTACACCACACAAGTGTATTTGTTATTAAAATTCTAATATCGACACAATGATGTCAACAGCATTTTATTTTAATACAAGCTTATATTGAATCCTTGCTCTGTTTTCTAATTCTCTGGATATTTTGATATGCACAAAACATTGTATCTCTGCAGAACAGTTATCGCTGCAAACATACACAGTGAGGACCTGTCAGTAAACCTCAATCTTCACATGAATCAACAGGGCACATGTCAGTATGACCAGATCCCACTGTTATTTTAAATAGAAAATTACCTCTTCCTTGCCGTGATTAAGGAACTTCAGTTCCCCAACACAGTCAGGCTATATTACATAGTCCCTGGCTACCCATCACTGATGTACACGGGGATCTAAACGCTAACCCTACAGCCCATGTAGAAATATAATTTCTAACTGCACATACAAATATGGTCTTTGATATATATACAATGTATTGTATATATAAATGTGATACTGATGAACTCTAACTATGACATGTATCATATCTAATGAATATCACATTGCAATTTAATATATTTAAACTGTAATATATATATATATATTTATTAGGGATGCACCGATACTAGTACTCACCCAAATGCTCTGATACCCCCCTCACCCAAATGCTCTGATACCCCCAATACCAGAACTCCCAGTCAGAGGGAGATTTCCTCTGACCAGCAGTGGCACATAGGAACATGGAGCCGGCTTCCCTGCCATTTAGAAAGCCAGGCTGCAGGTAATGACTTGCCGCCCAGCTTCCTGAGTGGCCGGGAAGCTAGATCCATGCTGTTTGGCTGGCTCAATGCTGATTAGCTGGGAAGCCAGCTTTCCAGCCAATTAGCATAGAGCCGACTAAACAGCATGGCGCCAACTTCCCGAGCAATCAAGAAGCCAGGCAGCGGGTAACGGCACGCCATCCGGCTTCCTCATTGACCAGGAAGCTGGATTCATGCTAGCGGAAGTACTAGTAAGATAAAATTTAGCTTTGATTATGGCACGCATTCACTGTGGCATTGTTTCGGTAAGCTTGTGCAATGTTTTCATTCAGAGTCGCATTCATCTTTCACCAAGATTTTGTAGTGTTGATGGAAGAGTCGGACCACTGTGTAAAGTCTTCATCAGCACATCTCAGCGAGTCTCAATGGGGTTAAGGTCTGGACTCTTTAGTGGCCAATCCATGTGTGAGAATGATGTCCCATGCTACCTGAATCTCTCTTTCCCAATCTGAGCCCGATGAATCCTGGCATTGCCATCTTGGAATATGCCCAATGTGCCATCAGGGGAGAAAAATCCATTGATGGTCAGTTAGGCAGCTGACCAACCTAGACCCATTATCCAATGAAAGGCTCTTACTTATTTGCTTAGCTAAATCCAGGTAGTGACTTTTTTGGAGGGAGGCAGTGTAATTATGGTGATTCTTTCAGACACACACAAATCTCAGGTATACAAATAGCATTTAAATTTACAAATATCAGGTTTCAAGAGGAAGTTGTTTGTTAAACAAGTGTTGACACAAAGCTAGCTTCTCACAATGGGCAAAAGGGTGTAAAATGCCTTCTATTGTTTTAGCTAGCCTTCTCACAATGGGATACACAAGTCCATTGTTTATCCATCGTGTTGTGTAAACATATTACACCCAAGCTGGTCAACAATAGCCTGACACTTTTGCATTAACTGACCGTGAGTGTCATTTGTGAAACTGTGCTGCCATCTAGAGTTGAAAAAAGAGAGATACACCTGCCATAGAATTGAATGTGTAAGTGTAAGGGCGAAGCCCACAGGTCTTGGGTACCAATTTTATAAATGAAAGTCAGCTGCCCAGGTGAGATAGTGAAGACTTCACAAAGGAACTTTGAACAGAGGAGAACACTAACGCCATAAGAAGTCTGACACAACAATTTCCTGAAAACGCTTAATCATCAAGTAGTCCTGTTCAATAAACAATATGTGGATCAGCAACAATTGAAGTTAAGTGACTTTTAGTGTATCCTCTTATAGAAACCATTGCATGTGCTAGAGAAGGATAGATAGCTTGTGTATGTGTGTGTGCATGAGTGTGTGCATGAGTGTGTGTGTATGTATGTATACTTGTACCAGCCTGTACGTGTTTGTAGTTTTTTACCTGTAACTAAGTAGTTTTGTGAACATGGCATTTGTTGTATAGTAAAAGTACATTTAAAAAACTCGTATTGGGTCAGTTTTCTTGGTTTTACTACAAGAGTCAGACAAACAAATAGCTCTAAAAGTTTGCAAAGCAAAACATTTGGGGTCTTGTGGCTGGGAAAACCAAAACAACAATCACTGAGAAGAATGCAGATAGTAAAGAGAACCTGTAGCCATGCTATGGTCATTCAAATATTTACATATTCCTATCAAACAGTGAATGAGCTTTAAACAAGTTGACCTATGTTGCTGCAGTGCTGCAGGCACTGTGGAGCAATGTATCTTCAAAGTTCATAATAGAGGCACTGTAGTCAATTTCTAGTTGGGTTCTGAGTATCTTTTGCTGCCCCTGCCATCAGTGACTTGGCACCTTTCTAATGTAAAAACAATACATATGCTCTGTGTTTACATAAAAGGCTACAAAAATGCCAAGTCACTGCTAAAGCTGCTTCAAAACTGATTAGAACACGATCACAGTCCCTCTGTTGTAAACTTGAGGATGGATTATATTTCACAGGTCAGTGAGGGCTTGTTTAAAGGTTATTTACTGTTTACTAATGTATATACTTACCTTTCCTTCAATCCCTGCTGCTAAATTTGGTAAATGTTGGTCTAGATAAGGGGTGCCCACAAGGTCGATCGCGATCTACCAGTCGATCGCAATGTCCTCTCCTCCCGCCGCTTCTCTGGATCCCCGCTGCTCTCCCCAGCGGGGATCCGAGAAGAAGTGAAGGAACCGGCGGCGGGGGAGGGCGGAGGACGGAGCCGCTGTCACAGAACTAATGCAGAGCAGTGAGGAGAGAGAGAGACGCTCGGCCAGGATCTGACAGCCGGCGCCTCTCTCTCCCCTCACTGATCGTCCGTTCTGTCACAGCGGCTCCGACCCCCCGCGTCTGAAGTGCTCTCTCACTTCTCGTCGGATCCCCTGCTGCCTTTGCCCGGGAGAGCAGGGGGATCCAGAGGAGTGTCCCCAATTTCTTTTTCTATTTTAAAAGCTAAATATCAGGGGGCTTTTTAGACCCCTAATATTTCCCCCGAAGCCCCCCCAAGAGTAAAAAATTACGAAAAAATAAATAAATAATGAAAATAAAATAAAAAAATAGTAAAAAATTTAAAAAACGTTTTTTTTTCTTGCTTCAGGCGCAAAAGGAGCTGGCTACGGCTATGCTCCC